TATATATACGTGTGAACTTAGGTTCATCGTTTACGTGTTTGCTCGCATGAGTGCTTCTGTTTGCAATGCTCGATCAGAGAGCTATGGCGAAATATTATGGCCCTTGCGTTTTGCTCAACGATGACCCGTACTTTGACATTCCTCGGGACTTATTCTAGTTGCTGAGGTTCATTCAACTGCTGATACTTAATTTAGAACATTCGGTTTCCATCTGTAACACCGGTGATGTGTATACAAATTATAAATATATACGTATATCGGTTTTTCTTATTATGACATCGATGTTGTATCTATGGATCCGATAGTCTATAAACCTCTTGGAAGTTCTATTTATAGCACTGATATCCAATACGTAACGTTCAATAGTGAACTATTCCGTCGCGTAGTGGACCCTGCGCTGTTTTACAACGACGCCGTGTGTCGCAAAATAGACTACAAACAGGAATTCCAACTGTGGCGCAAGTCGCACCAGATGAACGTGGATGCTGACAAAGGTTGGTTCATTGTTAATAATATATATATGTACACACGTGTCTCGCTTCTGAGTGTGTGTGTGTGTACCTACATGAAGGGTTCAATGGATGGCTCAATAAGCATTCGCATGTAGGTGACCCCCAGATAGGATACCTAAAGCCTAGAGCTGAACATGATTCGATCGATCTGTGTCCCTTCCGCCTGCACTGAGTATGTAGTCGCACTTGTGCTTGTGGGTGAACAAGGGAATGGATAGCCAAACCAGATTGTTGGGCAATCGGAACTACTACAGTTTTAAGCACGAGTGATTGTATGGGTAAAACTAGGTTTTTGTGCCGAGTTTGCGGAGGAATTTTACATGATTTTTCCTTTGCTGATTTTCTCCTGACACTTGTTGCCAGGATGTTGGTGAAGACTTCAAATGTGTAGCTCTGCACCTATTTAGGCACCTATTTAGGCACCTATTTTCTCCCCATCCCGTTTCCCTTTCTACCCCCTCCTCTACTCCTCTCTCTCTCTCTCACATTCCCCTCAAACTGTACAGTCGTGTCCTTATACGAACAAACTCATCACCCTGTCTACCATCTACTGTGTTTTCATTCCCATCTTCAGAAGTAAAATCTCTGCGTATCCGAGTAAGCAGCCGCTCCAATCAGCCCAGGATATCGCTGTTCGACTTCCCCTTCATCATAGATCCCGCAGGTAGTACCTATGTATTGTGATAGTTGAGTCGAATGTTGGGGGAGAACAATGTACAATGGCGTTGTACGAGCTTGTATATAGATCACGTGTATCTAAATAACTTAGGTATACATATACTGTCAAGTATAACTGACTGAAACACAAGCATATAAAGACATTTATTTGATTCGGTGCGTGTATGTTATATATTATATAAATATGTATGTATGTATGTATGTATGTATGTATG